TTTGGATCTGTATTCACCAGGGAATTGGTGAAAGGTTTCTCAGGGCTTCCCAGAAAGGGAATCTAATTGGGAAATGGTGGCAGCGGAACCAGAGCTAAGCTGGTAGTTAAGCTTAGAAGTTTTCATGCAGGCCCCTACATTTGTACCCTAAAGTTCAGAGTGGGGATCCAGCCTTGACAGGGCCATTTAGGGAACTGGGGTAAAAATCTGTCTGGGGATTGGTCCTACTTTGAGCAGGGGGTTGGACTAGATACCTCCTGAGGTCCCTTCCCACCCTGATATTCTAATCTACAAAATCGCTGACGGCAGGGCTGTCACATCCAGGGTATACCCAGGAATGTCAAATTCCGGGGTAACATTCCTAGTGGATGATGATCAGGCCGGAGCTTTTCATGCCTCTCGGCTGCACTCCAGCAATGCAACAGACCTGGGCATGAAGCCTTCTCTGCTTAGGACACTTGAACTTGTACAGAGCCTGTCACACATCTCAGCAACACATGAGACTGCAAAAACCTCAGAGCGGTCCTCTACCTTCTGGGCTGCCTCCAGAGCATTCCCTGGCCTGGGCCCAGGATAGCTAATAGATCACATAACGCTCTGGGAGGAAGCGTGTGGTCACCAGCTACGCTTCTCTGGCACAACAGAACTCTCTACAAGAAGGGTAAAGCTCATAAAAACCTAAGAACGGCCACACTGGGTCAGACCAATGGTCCATCTAGCCCAGTGTCTTGTGCCAGATGCTTCAGAGGGAATGAACAGAACAGGGCAATAATTGAGTGATCCATCCCCTGTTGCCCATTCCCAGCTTCTGGCAGTCAGAGGTTTAGGGGCACCCAGAGCGTGGGGTTGTATCCCTGACCATCTTGGTGAATAGCCATTGATAGACCTGTCCTCCATGAACTTATCTTTTTTTCCTCTTTAACCCAGCTCATCTGTGAGGGAGACAGAACTTTCTGAGAGTCTGGAATGGACGCTCCTAGGAACTAAAGACCATCCCAAACCTCACCACTTTCCACTCCGAGTGCAATGCGCTTTTTTTTTTAAGGTTGTCTCCTCTAACGGCAAATACATCGCAACTATGAGTCTATTCAGACCCACCACCACCAGAAAGTGAAACCGGCAGACAACCCTACCAAAACGAGACACTCCAGTGCACAAGCTTCTCCCGCAGGAGAGAGGAGAAGAAAACAAAGAACAACATGTAACTGATGAGTAGTTACCTTGTTTAATGACTGGAAACTCCTCACGTACCATGGTGCTGTATGCAATACAAGGACCTAATCGAACAGAGATCCTGCATCTCAACCCCATAGCAATACCCAGAGACCTCTGGTGATAGGATCTAATGAAACCACTTCCCCACAGAGACAGAGGCTGATCATTGGGGAGCCTCTTCCCACCAATCCTGACCCCCACATCATGGGTAAAGACTCAGAGCAACCAGTTTTCACTCCAAAACATGAAGTTCCTGTAGTTTTGAAGGGTAGAAAGAAAAAAAACCACCTCTTTCTTTGATTTTTGACATCAGTATTTAATATTACCACCCACAGATGGCCATGCACACAGGCCACAGGGAGCCCCTTGCAATGTGGCTTTAGCAGGAGAAGGGAGACATTTCAAGTCAGAGATAACTAGAGCGAAAATGGGGCAAAAACTGAATAGCAGAGAACGTGTAATAAAAATGCAATGCCTGAGAGACAAGGGCAGAAATCGGAGGGGATTTTAAATGAATGTTTGATCAATTAGAAAATGACGGCATGCCCTTGGAGTGCCGTTCACATGGGCAGCAGGAAGCCTTGGGCGACACCACTTTAAAAAGGGAAAAGGCGGGGTTATGGGACTGGATGTTTCTGACAAAGTGGGGAGGTGTGGGGCGGGATGGCCTAGGTCCGGAGGCCCCCTGCTGGGGGCCTCGTGGCCCTACATCACCCTGCCCCAGAAAAGAGCAGCGAGAAGTCCTCCAGGCAGCCTAGAGTGGCTGCAGAGGAGCGGCCAATCAGAGGGGCTGATGGAGTGACCAATCCGGGGCTGGAAGGGCCCTATATAAGACAAGCAGCAGGACCAGGGAAAGGTCAGTGCGGGCAGGCTGATGCCCAGGGGGACTGAGCACAGAACCTGCCCAGGCCAGGGAGGTTACTGAGATGGGCCCCACTGATCTGGTTGAAGTGGCTGGGTGGGGAGTGCAACATCTGTCATGGGAAAACTCAACCTGGCATTAATGATTTCACCTTCTTTCTTCCCTGACTGCCTCTCGTAGGCTTTCCCCTGCTCATGATTCTGGGAAACCTTCCCTTTATATCTTCCTGCTAATCTCCCGTGTGGTTCTTCCGGCTCTGCTTTCCGCCGCTGAGACGTCTCCTCCTCATTCTTACTCATCCTCCCGTCTCAGCTGCTGGGATGGAGGGAGAAGTGAGACATGGGTCATGCCCTGTGCCGAGGAGAAGGGGCAAGTGGGGAAGAAACCAGATTAAATGGTGGAGGGTTGGGGGGGGGGAACTCAGGGGTTGAATCCGCCAAACTATTCCCCATAGGGGAAGAGAGGAGGGGATCAATTCTGCTTCCACATCCCATCGGAAAACTCGGGGGGGAAAGGAGGTGAGAGAGGGAGCTGCTGCCAGGCATCAGTGACGATGCATGGGGCTAGCACATCTGCGGGGGGCAGCCCTGACCTCAGAGCTCCCAGCTGTTTCCCACAGACCCTGAGATTTTTTTTTGAGTGGGTTTAATTAATTCCTTACCTGTGCATGCAGTTCTCAGCATCTCCCTTCCCTCATAGCCCTGCAGATTCCTCGGGGGACCCCTGGCTCTTGTGAGATGCAAAAGCGGGTAAATAACCCCCCCCTTATTCATTTTCTGCACACGACTCGTGATTTGAGAGATTTCTATCATATGCCCCCTCCATGGTCTCGCTTCTAAACTGACCGTTTCTGGTTCTTTTAATCTCCCCTGGCACAGGAGCGGTTCCGTGCCCCTAATCATGTTCCTTGCCCTTCTCTGTTCTTTTTCCAATTCGAACAGATCTTTGTCGAGATGGGGCAGGCCCTATTCAAGCTTGTTTCTAAGCAGCGAAAACCTGGGGCTCCATATTTAATTATCTGCATCTCTGCTGGGAACACACACAGCCTCGCCCTCATCGTCCAAGGGACACCTCAACCCCAGAGAAGGCACCTCTGTGTCCCAGAATATAGAGACTCCAACCAGAGGGGGAACTGCACTGGGTCATCATCTGACTGACAGATGGGCCCAGTGGAAAATGAGACCGTCCTAGGGAAGCCGGGGGCCAGTGAGCGTGAGCTAGTGGGATGCAGCCTAGGAAGGCCTGGTAAGGGGGTCAGAGGTATCTCAGAGGGATTAGATGCAGGAAAGCACCATGTGAGACATTAGAGAATCTACTGAGTCAAGTGCAGTGGGAGGGAGTGTTAAATTCCCCCCAGCCCTAGGGACAAGGCTAAAGAATTAGATGCTATAATTCAGGAGCAACAGAATCAACGAGTGCTCGATCCCCCGAGGTCACCCAAACGGGACAGGCCTCTCGTTGCTGTTCGCCCAGGGGTCAGGCACTCAGCCAGGGAGTTAATATTGGATCAGGGGTGTTCCGCCTCTCAGGGGAGCACCTGAGCGCTGGGCTAAAGAGAGATTCTCCTGCTGTCTGTGGCCCAATTAATATTTAATTGATTCCATTCGTTACTTGCAGTGGCATGAAGCCAGCAAGAAGATTGAGAGCCCCTCGCACCTGGAGTCGTGCAGCAGTGGTGGTCCCAGGCTACCAGGCTCCTGGAGAGGGGTTCCCATCTATGGATCACAAATTAGCCACAATGCCCTGTAACGAGTTGACCCCTGGGAGGGGGATGATGGGGAAATTCAGGGGTGGGGGGTACGGGGAAATCCCTGGCTTCTTCCAAGCCCTGTTGCTGGCAGAGAACAGCCACCCCGGCTCCACCCCAGAAGCAGCCGGGTCTCAGGGCTCCCCCAAACAGCCCCCACTGACCCCCTGCCCATTTGGGGGAATGAATTGGGACAATTTCCCACCTGGACAAGGACAAATGGCTGCCGATCAAATGGGGTGGGGAAAATCCCCCACATCGGAGGAAATTTGAAATGGACATTTTGAGAATTGGAAAGAAAAAATGGGGCAAGCGCGGAGGAGGGGAAGAGAGAAAAGGCGGATAGTTTGAGAGAAAAGGGGGAAATCTACGTGGATTTAATGCACCTTTTTTAATGATGGGAAAAGGGGCAAAACTGGGGGAGAATTTGATCAGTATTAGAGAGAGAAGAGGGACCTTCTGAGGGGAATTGATGACCCCCTTTCTCTCCCTAATGTCCAGCCACACAGAGACAGGGAAAGCCACCGCACTTCCCCCCAGTCCCTGCCCCCTTTTCCATCCCATCCCTGCCCGACACCTCCAGTCCCCGCGGGGGCCCAGCTCTCTTCCCACCTGGGTCCCCCAGTTTGGCCCCGGCTGGGTTTGCAGCTAAGCCGCTTCCCGCAAGCTCCTTAGCAGCAAGGGGGCAGTGTCCCAGGGGGGCTGGGAGATTTAATGCCCCCAGCGTCACTTTCCTGCCCGCCCCCGGCACGTTCCCACGGGCTCTGTCCATTACCTGGCTCCGGAGTGGATGCGGGCAGAGCGCAGGGGGTGGGTCCCCCCCCCCCCGGCCCAGGCAGGGAGGTGTTAATGCCGGGCTTCTCCCCCCCCCCAGCACAGACCCGTGTCTGATGCTCTCCAGGCTTTGTTCTCCCGGCTCCTGTCTCCTTCCTCCCGGCACCCACCGCTCCCAGCTGCTCCAGCCCCTTCCTGTGCCTGCAACCCCCCTCTCCCTCGAGGGCACGCATGTAAGTTTTTCATAAATGATCTGGAAAAAGGGATAAACCGTGAGGTGGCAACATTTGCAGATGATACAAAACTGCTCTAGATAGTTAAGTCCCAGGCAGACTGCGAAGAGGTACAAAGGGATCTCTCAAAACTGGGTGACTGGGCAACAAAATGACAGATGAAATTCAATGTTGATAAATGCAAAGTAATGTACACTGGAAAACATAATCCCAACTCTACATATAAAATGATGGGGTCTAAATTAGCTGTTACCACTCAAGAGAAATCTTGGAGTCACTGTGGATAGTTCTCTGAAAACATCCACTCAGCGTGCAGCGGCAGTAAAAAGCGAACAGAATGTTGGGAATCATTAAGAAAGGGATAGATAATAAGGCAGAAAATATCATATTGCTTCTATATAAATCCATGGTATGCCCACATCTTGAATACTGCATGCAGATGTGGTCGCCCCGTCTCAAAAAAAGATATATTGGAATTGGAAAAGGTTCAGAAAAGGGCAACAAAAATGATGAAGGGTATGGAATGGCTTCTGTATGAGGAGAGATTAATAAGACTGGGAGTTTTCAACTGGTAAAAGAGATGACTAAGGGGGGATATGATAGAGGTCTATAAAATCATGACTGGTGTGGAGAAAGTAAATAAGGAAGTGTTGTTTACTTCTTCTCATAACACAAGAGCTAGGGGTCATGAATTTAATAGGCAGCATGTTTAAAATAAACAAAAGGAGGTATTTCTTCATACAACGCACAATCAACTCGTGGAACTCCTTGCCTGAGGATGTTGTGAAGGTTAGGACCCTAACAGGGTTCAAAAAAGAACTAAATAAGTTCATGGAGGAGAGGTCCATCAATGGCTATTAGCGACGCTGGACAGGGATGGTGTCCCTAGCCTCCATTTGCCAGAAACTGGGAATGGGCGACAGGGGCTGGATCACTTGATGATTGTCTGTTCTGTTCATTCCCGCTGGGGCACCTGGTACTGGCCACTGGCAGAAGACATGACACTGGGTGAGATGGACCCTTGGTCTGACGCAGTACGGCCGCTCTTATGTTCTTATGAAAGAAAGTCCCCACTTGCAGCTTTCTATAAAGGCCGGTGTTCCTGAAGATACCTGTTTCATGCACCTTCCCAGACCACAAGTGCCTTCAATACCATAGAGAATACTATTGGTGTCCTGCGTCACAAGATGCTCCAGGACCAACACTAGGATCTGCGTTCCATCGATCGCCCTTCCACAGCTAGGGAATCCCATTGCCGCAAAGCCATGCCCTATTTCACGCACATTCCCAAGAATCACAGTCCTTCGTAGCAGGGTTCAAGTCCCTGGTCAGGGAATACGCCTCTCCAGCTGTTCCATACACCTACAGCTAAAAAGTTCTCTCTGGTTAAGGCAGCCCCCACGATCGAGTGTGGCGCTCAAGTCACAAGAGCGAGCAGGGAAATGACCGGCTTCCACGTCATTTGAGAGTGCAAGAGAAAGCCAGGCAAGTCCCAAGATATCTATGTGGCCAGCAAGGTGCCCTAAGGCCCCACCGGCATTTAAATTCGGATTGCAGGATTCAAAGCCCTCAGTGCTGGCCCTTACACCACGGGACCAAATGACTGCTCAGCTTTTCTCTGCAGACTTCTGACGGGGAGGACTTTGTTGGGACAAGATGACGCTTCTCTCAAGCAAGGCCTCCATCACCTCTCTGCCCACGCTCAACAGCTCAGCACAGGGCGCTTTGCTCCAGGCCTTTCTTCCTCCAGACTGCGAGGCCGGGGGCATGGCAGGAAGCTGCCTCTTGAATCCTACCCACTAAGGGCATTTCCCAGGAAACTCCAAGTCCTCAAAAGAAACCGCAAGGATGCCGCAGAGGCAATTTTTTAGCTGTAGGGACATGAAAGAACTCAAGAGGTTAATAGCCTGACCAGGGACTTGAACCCTCAGATTAAAAGTCTGATGCTTTACCAACTGAGCTAGCCAGGCTGCCAGAAAAGCCTTTCAGGTTGGTGCAGAAGAGACGGCAGACAGGAAAAAGGGAGCGATACAGAGCAGAGCAAACGCAGGGGTAGGCAACCTATGGCACGTGTGCCGAAGGCAGCACGAAAGCTGATTTTCAGTGGCACTCACAGTGCCCAGGTCCTGGCCACCAGTCCGGGGGGCTCTGCATTTTAATTTAATTTTAAATGAAGCTTCTTAAACATTTAAAAAACCTTATTTACTTTACATAGAGGGACATATGAATCTTTAGCGCATCTGGTATGTAAATATCTTGCAATGCCGGCTACAAAAGTGGCGTGTGAACACCCATTCTCACTTTCAAGTGACGTGAACAAGAAGCGGGCAGCATTATCTCCTGCAAATTGTAACCAAATTTGTTTGTCTGAGCGACTGTCAGAACAAGAAGTAGGACTGAGAGGACTTGTAGGTTCTAAAGTTTTACATTGTTTTATTTTTGAATGCAGTTATTTTTTGTACATAATTCTACATTTGTAAGTTCAACTTTCACGATAGAGAGATTGCACTACAGTACTTGTATGAGGTGAATTGAAATATACTATTTCTTTTGTTTTTTGCAGGGCAAATATTTGTAATCAAAAATAACTATTAAGTGAGCATTGTACACTTTGTATTGTGTTGTAATTGAAATCAATATATTTGAAAATGGAGACAACATCCACAAATATTTAAATAAATCGTATTCTATTATTGTTTAACAGTGCGATGAATCGCCATTAATTTTTTTAATCACAGGACAGCCCTGGTTCCTGCACAAGTGATTGCCGAGCGGCGCGGGAACGTTTCCAACGACAGGGGAAGAAACAAAGCAGTTCTGTCACGGAACCTTTGGCAGAGAATTGGCGAGTGCTTCCAGGAAATTTTCCTAGAGATCTCTCTGAAGGATTCCCGTGAAATCTCAGGGTGCTTTAACACGCTGTTGTGACTGTCAAGGCTGCTTCCCCACTTTGAACTTTAGGGTACAAATGTGGGGGCCTGCATGAAAACTTCTAAGCTTAACTACCAGCTTAGATCTGGTCTGCTGCCACCACTCCCAAAGTGCTAATTCCCTTCCCTGGGTAGCCTTGAGAGACTCTCCACCAAATCCCTGGTGAATACAGATCCAAACCCCTTGGATCTTAAAACAAGGAGAAATTAACCAT